GCAAGAACCTGACTACTACCAAGAAAGAAAAGTTGAGAGGAGAGAAAGAGAGAGAGAGAGAGAGAGTTGGACCTGGGGTACTGAAAACTTTCTAAGTCCAGGGGAAGATTAATGCCAAGAAATATATAGTTCTCCAAGAAATGCCAAGCAAATAGACATTAAACAAAGACAAGGATTTTCCTACTGAGCTGACACAGAGAGAAACAATAGTTTGAATCCTAGCTTCCTAAACTGAGAGAGAATAAATTTCTATTTGTTAAAACCATCTAGTTGTGATGTATCTGTTATCACAGCACTAGAGTAACTAAGATAATACCTCATCTAAGATGATTCCTCAATCTCTGTCACTCATTTGGCAATTCTCTATGGAGCATCCTAACATTATTCTGATACTCTTTCCTGTTTATATAATTATTCATGTCTTTCATATATTACAAAAGCTTTATGAGAGCAGCAACCTAGTTCAACTTGTATTTCACTGGATGTACAGTTCCTAGAACATTGCTTGATTTTATAGTGGATATTCCACAAATATTTAGTCTCTTCTGATTTTAACTACATTAATACACTTCTTTTTTCTGTGCCTCCTTATTGTAATTAGATTTTGGTGATAGGAGGAGGAATAAATATGTTTGCTCAGGTGACCTTTTGAATCAGAGCCAGTTAGTAATGTTTCAAATATTAAAAGAAAACTGATTACTAAATAAATATGAGAAGACTTCAAAAGCGTGAAATGGAATGAAAAGATAAGGAATTTTCCCACAAACTTTTTGAAGCCACATTGTCATTTTTGAAGAAAATTGTTCTTTGAATAATTTTTAAATATCAAATCTATATGTATGCCTTTATGTGTGTATCTCTGGAGGCACAGGCGTTAAAGCGCTTGGCTGCTAACCAAAAGATGTGGCAGTCTGCTTCTGGAAAGATCATTTTATCCAGTCAATCCCTACTTCAAGTACCCCTTCCAGAGAGAATTTTAGTAACTTTATGGGAGACAGCTTATTTTCCTTCCTCCACTGAGTACTTGATGGGTGTGAACTAG